ATTGCTGTCCTCTCTCTCTTTTTAAACAATTAATTGTGCCTTAGCTTCATATTTAAACAGCAGTTGGGCATCTCCTTTTAAATATTTATAATATTTGCTTAAAGATATAAACTCTTTCTCTGGAAGGAGAAAAGAAGAGCTCATGAAACCACCAAAGTTAACTAATCAGCCGCAAGCAAAATTACTTAGAATCAAGAGGTTGTGATCTATTTCTCTTCAGTTGAAGACTGTATACACATGACAATACAATGAGCATGTTTACATGGCAACTGACCTAATATAAACTGCTTCTTCATCATTTAAGGCATGTAAGCAACATGCCTCCAATTTACCCTTGTAGAATTTGAGAGCCCTACAGCTGGAATAAATAAAGTTAAGTATCTATAACTTCTGCTGGAAAGAGGCTTCTGGGAGCCATTTTTCTAAGTCATAAACAATAACAGTCAATGTCACTGATTATTCGTCTGCCATCAGCATATTCAAATAATGGGTTAGGATAACTCCCCCAATATCCATTGGCACTATGTGGGAAACAGTCCATTTGTTGAAAGCCAGATTTTCTGAGAGTTACACAATGTTATGTACATTTTTCTCGCAAAATCCCTATGAACTTCAAAGTTTTATCTTTAGATAATTATTAATCTTTTCTTTCTCTCTTCCTCACTTCTTTTGGTCTATTTGGGTCCCAAAAGACAATATGCACATCAAATCTTGATGTGTTGAGTATTGAGTTACTTTTAAAATATATTAGCCAAACCCATATTGAAAACAACCTTCCCTTCCAGATAAATTGAAAGAACACTTCAGAGGGGTGTTCTCAGTGAATTCTGGGACTGAGCTCATGTGTCGCACTAAGATAGAATGGCTTTGGCTTAATGCGTAATGTGAAGCTACCCAATTGTGATTCATTCAACAAACCATAGTTAAACCCTGGCTTAGGGTAAATGTCGAAACAAACACTTATTCCCACACATGTGGATGGTAACAGGTTGGAGAAAAGTGATTACGGCTAAAATATTGCCAAACCAATATTCTTTTCATATTTAATCATTTGTTCAGCAATATTCAGTCTATACTTCACAATTCATTATCATGCTTCAAAAACAAGTGTTGAATGTAATCGAGGACTACTCTATCACAGGTCTTACCTAGTCAAGTCATCCATGCAATGCTTCCTTTCCATGTAATAGCCCAGCAACCAGGAAATCCTATTCTTCCAAAATTTGGATCTGAAGAAACTGTTTCTTACTGTTAAAAGAAACTCTCCTGAATATGGTGGTGATTTTGGTGATGGTAGTTGTTAAATTCTATATGTGAGCTATTTTCATGCAGAATTGATCAGTACTTATTTGGGAGACCACATGAAATCTTGGAGTAGTTGAAATAACATCCCAGAAGACAAGCTACATTGGTATTGTTCCCAGAAAACAATGTGTTCCTTAAATCATCATGAGTCACGTTTAGCTGTACGGTAACTTACCTATACACAGTAGGATAAAATCACAACTACAATCTCCAAAAAGAGAATTAATATGCAAGTGTCTTGATAACAAGTCATCACGAGAATCATCTAGGACAGGAACAATGTGGTTTCTAAGGTTGTCTAGCTCTCTGCTGTAAAATCCTCTCCTTTCTGAAAATCTGCCATCCTTCTCTGTGACAGCTGCAAAATTAGAAATTACTTTTATGTACATGGCACCAAGTGTCTTATCTTATTTTAGATATAGATGTATTGACCTTCAATTTCATGATAAACTATTTATTTTCTGAATACAGGCCTGCTACCAGCAATTGAAAGGTAAATAAAGTACACTTCCAGTTTCTTTTCTGCCAATTGTTGTGTCATTAATAACTGGCAAGGTTATCTGTCTAGAAATCATGGAAAAAATCTATACACCAAAAAATGTGGATTTTTAAAAATATATGATAAATTAGCAACAACAAAACTGTTCTTTTTAAGTACAAACGCCTTGATTTTCTATTTTTGGTGTCCTTATTCTACAGCTGCAGAGAACAAATTTTGCATTTTGATCCATAACATTAACTCAGAAAATAATACAATTTTACACAATCATATTTAGATACCATTTCTTCTTCTAGGTATATGCAGGTATTTATGCAAAGTATATGGAACATATACATATGTGAACGGGCGGTTTGTAAACTGGAAGCTCAGTTCTCTTTTAATTCTGAATCAATTCCAAAGATGGAATCAAGTACTGGTTTTCAGTATCCTTTCAAAGCATACTTACTATTTATCTTTAGGGAAGAAAAATCAAAACATGGTTGGCAAAAAAAAAATCCCCTCAAAAATAAAAACAAAATAAATATTACTAAAGTTTGCATTCTGTTAAAATCATTTTCACATCCAGGAATTCAAATGTTTCCTTTACAGTAAGAAACTGGGTTCTTTAACAAAGCATCTGTCTTGCTGTTGTTGACAAAAAAAGGATTTATTCTATATTCAATTTATACAAAGGCATTACTAAGATGCCTAAAACAACAATAAGATGTTGTTCACCTTTATGTTGCTGAGAAAGCATGCTTTGCATCATTGGGCTGAACTTTAAAAAACTGACAACTTTCTTTACAAAAGAAAGCAATAAAATTCTTGTCTGATTAGAAGTTGCCTCTACTTGAATCTTCCAGGAGGAAAAAATGCTGAATAGCAACTAGCTTTATGTCATCATTAAACTGATTTCTTCACAAATACTGGAGTGCTGAAGACAGTAGAACACACTACCCAAAAAATATTGCTAGTGAAAATAATTTTACTTCAAAAAAAAATCAAGGAAAAATATAGGTTAAGTTTTAAATTAAAAGCAATTTAAAAGTTTTACAATGGTTGCTTCAGAAACAATATTTTATTGCAAATACTTGTAACTGGCAGATCAAATGACATATTTTTTTAAAAAATCTTTTAAAAAATCTGTTTTTGTTTTTTTTAAAAAAAATCCTGATATTTTGAATGCTAAGGATACTGCAGTTTAAAACCTATTTGGGTACTAGAGATTGTAATCAAATACCCACAACACACTTATTTCAACTTTAAAATGATCTCCATACAAAAATATAACCTCATTTGAGTTGTGGAATAGTATTAGCCAGCAGTGGACAGGGATATTAGAAGCTTGGAAAATAACTCCCGCTACATCTAATACAATTTTTTTGAGAAAATCATGCCTAAACGCAAGACGAGGATCTGAGGTCAGGAAATAATAACGACACTGATGTATGTGATTTGAGAGGTAATAACATTATCAGAATTTGTATTTTGCTGACTGCTCTGCTATCGTGTAGAAGTAGCTCATAAACGCAGCAACAGAATCAACTCGGGCTATATAGGAACAGACGTATCGGACTTTTATGAATCCAACATTTTCAAAGAAAACACAAGCCCCCGATTGCACACCGCTGCAGCTCTGTCCCAAAAAGTCATCTGCTGAAATTCCATCGTTGGCACCTTTTTAGACCTGAAAAGTCGAGCTGTGTATTAAACGGCGTGTGCGTGTTTTGGCGTGTGTGTTTCACTTTCCCTTACGTTAAAGCTAGCTTTACCAACCACTTTCACTAGGAAGCGGGGGGGGGGAGGGAGAGGAGGGATCGTTTGCGATGAGCATCCGCACAAGAACGTAAACAGCCAACTCTTCTCTCTTGTTCCACTGCAGCGTCTGGAAAAAAAACGCGCGGGCGGGGACAGGCACCCCTGGGGGCCTTTAGGAAAAACACCGCCCCCTCTGAGGTCCGCAGGAGGGAGCCTTGAAAAAAATAATAATAATAATAAAAAAAAAAGCCCGGCTTTCTGCTCCCTTTTCTGGGCGAGGTTGAGCAATTTAGGGAGCATTGCTACCGTCCTGCAGACCTCCCTCCCCATTTTGTTTTTCTTAAATTCCTAACCCCCCCCTCCCGGGCAGACTCTGTTTGCGGACGGCCAGCAGAGCTACAGGAGGGATGGCGCCCCAACTTGAACCCTGTAGAAAAAGCAGCCGACAGACCACGCAGCCCCCGACCGCCTCTCACTGGCCTTCCCTCTGGAGAGGGAGCAAAGGAAGACGGCGCTCTTGATGGAGGGAGTCCCCTCCACTTCTTCCCATTCAACGGGGAAGGATGAAGGCTACTTGGGCCGGGCGTTATCCCGCCAAGGAAGGAAGGACGGAAGGAAGCAGGTAGGGCCTTTTCTCTCCCAGGTGGTGGAGCACCGCTCAGGGCCGGGAGAACCACTGCTTTCCCTTCCTTCTCGGTTGTCCCGCAGGAATACGAGGAAAGATAGGAGCAGCTGCCGGCTCTTCGCATCTCTCCTTAGTCTCAGGAGGTTCTGGGCTGGGTAAGATGGAGGCGTTGCCTTTGGACTCCTCGTGGAGCGAAGATTTTGCCAGCCAAGCTTGCTGATTGGTGGCTTTTTTTTTTTTTCTTTCCCTTCCAAAGAAACATACCAGAGCTGACAAACTTGCCAGGCTCCTCCGCCCGGCCAACTGCGCCGGCTAGAAACAGGCACTCCGAGGGAAATACAAGGCGCTGAAAGAGAAATCTGAGACCGGCCGCAACCTGACGCTTTCCCCCCGTTTATTGGCTGAGTCGTTTAGCTCCGCCTCTCGAGATGGAACGATTCGTGGTCCGGCGGCCGCGATTCCGCTTTCTCTTAGGTTGGCGTGGCCTGCCAGTCATTTTGAAGGACGGGCTGTTCTTTCTCCATTGGTCCTGCCCCTTTTCTCCCTCCTCCCCCTCCGCGCCTATTGATATTATTGGAGTGTCCTCGCTTGCCAGCCAGACGTCAGCCTCTGAGCGTCCGTCGTTTATGCCTCTCGGTTTTCTTTTTTTTCGTTCGTCCCTTTCGCTCTTCCGTCGGCGCCTCGCGACGCATTCTCCGTGGCGTTTAATTTTGTGTAGCGTCGTCTTCGGGAATCTATGCGTGGCTCGTCGTCGTCCTCGTCCTCGTCGGCGCCCCCGTCGAGAAGCAACGCCAAGCGCAGTCTCTCTCTGAATGTATATGCATACCATTAGATTTATTTAAATATCTCCAGCTCACGCACCATGGTTTTTCAAACTAGGCTCCCTTCTTGGATTATTTTGTGTAACATCTGGCTGCTTCAGTTTGCACACACGGGGGAGGCACAGGCTGCGAAAGAAGGTAAGGTGATGCTGGCCACAAAGTTTATCGCTCCTTTTTTTTTTTCCCCCCCCGCTACGAAGGGCTTTTTCGGGACCGCTCTCGAGGTCGCAACTGCATGCCGCTTCCCTTTGCTCCCGATGCAATCCGGACGAAAGGAGAGCGCCGGGCACCTTTCCGCCCCGTGCCGAGCGCCTCCGCCTATTTCCTTCCTTCCTTCCTTCCTTCCTTGAAGTCCACCAGCGTCCCCAGGCATTGATATTAAAGAAGGGCAGATCAGGATCGCGCCCCCGAGTGTGTGTGTGTGTGTGTGTTTTGCCTCCGAGACTACGGCGCATTTCCTGACCTGGGTTAGCTGCGCGAGGGGCCGCACGTGATGAAAAGGTCCGGGAAGGCTTTGAATCTCCATATGTGCCAGTTAGTGAGGTGAAGGTGGGGGGGGGGGAAGAGGGAGACTGGTGGTAGGATTCTCGGATAGGCTCCTCTATCGCGGTTAATTTTATAGGTTGGTAGATTAACCCCCTCACCTCTCGAAAGACAATCTGGCTACAAGGCGGTTACCTCCCGGCTTCCGACACCGCCGGTGTTTGGGAGGGAAGGGAGTCGGGTGTGAAGCGAGCGACCTGCTCCAGGACTGCAGAGGAGTTTCGGCCCTGAGGATGAAATCATCTAAGGATTTGGGGGGGGGGGGGGGGGGGGGAAAAGTAAGATGCCTTTCTGGATAGCCACCCCTGTCACCTGTAATAGCTAATAATAATAGCTAATAATAAAGACCATCTGTTCGTTTTGTGNTCTTTTTTTTTTTTTTTTTTTCCCCCCGCTACGAAGGGCTTTTTCGGGACCGCTCTCGAGGTCGCAACTGCATGCCGCTTCCCTTTGCTCCCGATGCAATCCGGACGAAAGGAGAGCGTCGGGCACCTTTCCGCCCCGTGCCGAGCGCCTCCGCCTATTTCCTTCCTTCCTTCCTTCCTTCCTTGAAGTCCACCAGCGTCCCCAGGCATTGATATTAAAGAAGGGCAGATCAGGATCGCGCCCCCGAGTGTGTGTGTGTGTGTGTGTTTTGCCTCCGAGACTACGGCGCATTTCCTGAACTGGGTTAGCTGCGCGAGGGGCCGCACGTGATGAAAAGGTCCGGGAAGGCTTTGAATCTCCGTATGTGCCAGTTAGTGAGGTGAAGGTGGGGGGGGGGGGAAGAGAGGGAGAGTGGTGGTAGGATTCTCGGATAGGCTCCTCTATCGCGGTTAATTTTATAGGTTGGTAGATTAACCCCCTCACCTCTCGAAAGACAATCTGGCTACAAGGCGGTTACCTCCCGGCTTCCGACACCGCCGGTGTTTGGAAGGGAAGGGAGTCGGGTGTGAAGCGAGCGACCTGCTCCAGGACTGCAGAGGAGTTTCGGCCCTGAGGATGAAATCATCTAAGGATTTGGGGGGGGGGGGGGGGGAGGGAAAAGTAAGATGCCTTTCTGGATAGCCACCCCTGTCACCTGTAATAGCTAATAATAATAGCTAATAATAAAGACCATCTGTTCGTTTTGTGCTGGTGGCGTGATCCCATCTCGCAGGGCACGGAGTTAGCAAACGAAGAAGCGGAGCACAGCGCCCGCGTCCAGAAAGATTTGCATCACGTACGCAGAGAACGCCGCGTTATCTCTGTATAAGACCGCTTTCTTATGTACGCTGAGTATGCATTACAGTCTCCCCACCTTCAATGGGTCGCCCTGTACATAATATGCTTCCGTGTATAGTGTAGACCGATCTATCAGCCCATTTTTTGGCAAGAACAACCGGGGCTCCGAAAACCCCATTAAATGCCAGATCCGTTTTAAAAGGGACGGAGCTTTTGAAGGCAGTGTTTCTCGCCATAGGCAAAAGTCGTAGGTTTTCTTACTTGGGGGAGAATCGAAACGACGTTAAGACCGATAAAAAGATTTTTTGGGGAGGAGGGTTGAGACAGCCCACCCCCTCCCCGGTTCCGGAGACTTATTTTTTCCCCTTCTTTTTTTGAGCTATGGGCAACATCGGGGGAAAAAAACACACGCTTTTCACTATCAATTGGAAATGGGAAAAGAGAGGCTCTCGGAGATGAAATAAACGTAATTATACATAACATGGAAGTCCATCTGCATGCTTAATGCTGGGGAATGGGATCAAGGGCTCTTGAAAACTTTATCTGGAAGATTAAATCTCTTACCTCGGGAAAGGAGAGGAGGAGGGAGGGTAAGAGGAGGCTGAAAACAAAGCTCTGGAGTAGGGCGAGATACGTGAGGGAAAGCAAGCAGCACCTTCCATCTGGAGTCCCTGGAGTGTCCGTGGGAAGTAATTGAAGGTGTGTGATTTCACATATGCTGTAGCGCTACTTTGAAATCGCCTGCTAATTTAGGAACTGGCTCTCATTTGGACTGGGCTGGTCAAAGAAAGGCATTTGTATAGGAAGGAGCTCTGATCTCGTAAGAACTGTCACGTTTACCTGGGCAAGGCGGACTCGCAAAACTTTCCAACTTTCGTAGTTGTTCTCGGCTCTGAATACCTAAGAGGGATCGACCGTCGGTTACCCGCACCTGCTTTCTTCCTCTTTAGGAAGGAAAAAAAAAGGAGTGCTGCATGTGAGGGATCGGAGTTCGGATTTTTGTTTTTCCTAGTGTTTTGGTTTTTTTTTAAGAGGGGTTAAGAAGCCCTCGTGAATGGGGCGAAGTAGAGGTAGGCAAAACGGAGGGTCACCTCTCCATTGAAGTTACTCTGGGGGCGCTTTTCCCCCTTAGGATCGGTATTTGTTCTCGCCTGTAGGCGAAGCCCCCTGGCCCGTCTCGGGTGCTACGCTGGGAAAAGTGGTCAATGGCGGTGGAGGGATGTGTGTGTGTGTTTTGTGTGTCTGTGTGTGTGAGAGAGAGAGACAGAGAGAGAGATGCTCTTTTAGCAGCTTAGTAAGGAGAAGCGCGGAAACTGGCCGCTTCTTGCAAGAGCACAGCCCAGAAAGGCGGGGGGGGGGGTTGAGGGGGGGAATGAGAAACTCCTCCGCGCTTTACTCAGAGGGCAGAGGAAGCACAGCGTGGGTGGAAAAATGGCTTTCGGACACTTGGAGATGAGATGCTGCTCTCCCTTTTAAGGGTAGGAGTAGTCAGGTGAGGTTAGGACTCACTCCCCCGCCCCCCCCCCCGGAGATACATCCTTTTTTATCTTCTTTTTGGGAACCTAAGGTTTCCTATGTCTGGGTTTATGGACTCGTATTCCTTCATTATGTAGGCAGATTTCATTCTTCTTTTAGAAGTGTGTTAACTAATATTGGCACCGAGGCCTAAGTTGAGGAAATTAGTAATAAGGAAGGGTTTCAGGCCACATGCAAAGTGACACTCTGCTCACTCCCCAAGGAAATCTGAAAGGCATCCTTGCTGCTCTTTAAGCAAATACTCAGTGTGGCACTTTAGGTCTGAGGGAATCTGAGATTTCTTCCTGTCCATACTATTAGCCACTGTCTGCCCTTGCAGACAGATAAAGATAAAGGCATGCATGACCCAAAACAGATTGTATGGCATCCCCTCAGTTTTCAGTCACTGAAACTGAACTAACAGTGGGCAGGGGAAGGCACTATGCTTTTCTGAAAAAATTAAACATCTATCTAACTTGCTGGGTTATTCTGTCACACTTTTGACTTTTCTGTGTAGTTTTGTCGGGAGAAAAAGCTATATCTTCCCTTTAAGAAATCAGAATAATAAAATAATACATTGCTTTAGAGCACTAATGGCATTTTGAGATCCTGCCCTTTGAAGTAAGTTTGGTGTTGGTGAAAATGTGTGGTGCAGATTTGAAAGGAGCTCCCCCACCCCCACCCCACCCTCTCAATTTTCTGATAATGACTTGATTTGAGTCATTTGTTTCAAAGGTGTCTCGTTTGAAAAGAAAAAGTTCTGCTTAAAACCCTTAGCAGAAACTTTAGGGAACTTCACTGTCAAGAATAAATAAAAGGATTCCTCAGTACTTGCAAAAGGATTTCAAGAGAAAGTTGCTGTTCATCTTTCAGTATCCTAGAAGAGAGTTTTACCTTTTTCAGCACACATTGATACTATTAAAATTATAGTTTTGCATGTTCAGGAAGATTAAAAAAGTTTTTACTTTTCACTTTAAGTTTTGGAATTGGTTTAATTTGAGTACTATGAATGTGTAAAGTATTTAAACATTACAATTGCTCTTCAGTCTGTTTCAAGGGTATGGAGTGGTTAACATGTAGAATGCCTTTTCTTTAGCTGAACTTATTAGCCTGGTTTTTGAATAGCAACCCAATACATATAACTCTTTTATCAATTTCTTTTAGAAACTGTTAACACCATAGAAAGAATCCCTTAGCTATCTGGATTAATTAGTGGTGTAATTATGTAGAAATGATGCTTTTTGTATGAAGCCTAACTTCCTTCACTGAGAAAGCATAAAATTATATCAAAGGTACACATGAGGTTTTCTCAGTATATTTTCACAATATGTAAGACTGCAACTCTTTATGCCTATTTGAAAATACCTTTGAAATCACTGTAACTTTTAACTTTTATATGCACATGAGATCAGGCTATGATATAATCCTCTTTAATTACATTATTATTGTTATTATTAAAGTATTATAAAATTAATGCTTAAGAAATCCAGTCTTAAATATTCCATTTATTATTATCAAGGTTTGTTTTATATAGGTTAAGGGTCAAATGTTACAATTACAAAAGTATTTTAAATTTAAAACTGAGAGCATCTATATATTTGTGCAAAGTGTTAATAGAATGTATTACTAACTAGTGTAATACATGCATATGTTTTATATTAAATTGTTAATTGAAATATTTTTTCTTAGTATGGTAGGTGACAAAATGTAGTTATGACAACAAATCATGAATAAATATCAGATTAATATAAATGGTTCACAAAGTGATGCTGTTGAAATAATATTTTAATTATTAATCTAATTGTTAGCAGTTTCAGCACTGACCAACAGTTTGGGATGTCTTATAAAACAACAGAAGTAATGTGTCAACAAAGTTTTATAGTTTTGTTTAGATGCATTCTTTGCTGAATAATGTGAAAACTGAATATTGTTACTGATATACTAATCCTTTTATGTTTATGTTGTAAATTGGAGTAAAAGTCAGAAAAGACTTTAAATATTACATTTCATTTAGAACAGTACATAAGTTAGTTTACTTAGGAAGTTTGTGTCATGAAATAAAGATTGAATAGATTTCATTTTAAAAAATTACTATTATAAAGGCATTCCAGTATAAAGGAGATCCTGGCCACGTCCTTTACATTTCCTTTGGTTTATATTACCTACTAAAGTATCCTTGTGAAATCAGTCACTTTTCAGTATGTTCAACCAGCTGCTAAGATATTAATTTCTTCTTGAATAAAAACCTGGAGGCAAAGTAGTTTAATGCCCTTAACTTACACAATGTCAGCATGAGTGTACAATTCTTAAAATATTTTAATACATAGATATTTTTTCTTTCAGTAATATTGCTGGATTCTAAAGCACAACAGACAGAGTTGGAATGGATTTCTTCTCCTCCCAATGGGGTAAGCATACCATTTAAATCAAAATCCAAAATCAGAATGAGTAGTTTAAATTAATTTTCTCAAAATTCCTTGAAGAAAACTTATGGTGAAAAAAATTCTGTTGTGAAAAACATTGTGATTCAGATATAAACTAATAATAGTTTTTTTTAGCTGTTAAATTCTTTAAGCTGCGGCACACCTCAACTTTTTTTAATCTTGAGTAATATTATTTCAATTTTCATTCTTAAAAACAGCTTTACTGATCATAATTTTGAATATTATGTATCATTCGATGTAATTAATATATAATTACATTTTATTAATACATTATAATTAATATTTCAGGTATTTAAACATTCTTGTAAAGTTTCTAAATTCAAGGCCAAATTTGCTGGCTTTAAGGCAGAAATTTGTATCTTTAACTGACAATTTTTCAAAGCAAGGTTATCTTGCTGATTTTTGAAAATATCCTTATAAATTATTGTTTCATTATTGCTTTAAATAATTAACTTTCAGACTTGGAACTCATTTACTCTTACTGCTTCAGTTCTTAATATGGTAAGAATATTTGTAAAGCCCTTGTAGTGAAAGGACAGAGTGTAATTTTGAATAATATATAATTATTTCAAAGATTATTTAAGTAGCTGTGATATCATACGACTGAATACATCAGGTTTAGAAACTGCAATCAAATAAGTACAGTATTTTCTAAATTCTTTTTGAAGCTTGATTATTGTAAGTGGATTTCTACTGCCTATCATTTAGAGTAATTCATATTAATACAAGTTTCAAATAAAGGTTTATACAATCAAGCCTTTAATCTGGCACTTATAAGGAAATCTGGAACCCAAAGAAAGTGAATTCTGAGTGGGGATGTAGAAGTGTGACAAATCCTGTAAATAAAAAGAATGAAAACTTGAAAGTCTGTTAACTAAAAAGCAAGATCATAAAATCAATCCAGGCACTGGGTGGAAACAAGTCTAATGACTTTTGGAATGTATGAAACGTTAGCTGAATGCTTAAGATGAGAATTAAGTTAAGTATTAGCACTTCACACTGAAGGAAGCCTTTTAAGAAGAGGATTAGAACAATTTCAGAATAAACTGTGATAGTCCAGCTTTGAAACAATAAAAGCATATGCATGGTTCAGAGAGAGGGAGATAAAAAAGTTGAAAAGTAATCCAAATATAGCTCAGGGATGGGCAATGTCTGATAATTGACAATTGCATGTAATCTACTTTTGGGTGCCCAACATTTGCAATGATGGGGTAGTGAAACCACTGGGGGGGGGGGTTCCGCTTCTTTTTTCTTTAAATTTGGTAAGGGTTTATTGATTTTTTTTAAAAAAAATATTATTTTAAAATATTAAAGTTGTTATAATACTTTAATAGTTTTGTAACATTTATTCATTGTAGTTGACAAGAAAGCATGCCATTGATTCTCAGCGACTCTAATAATTTGGATGTGGGAGTTGCAGAACATCTAGAAGGTTTCCATTCATCCAGGGTATATACTATGCAGACAATAGTTACTGTCTGTTTAAATTACACTTACAAATATGTCCTATTAAAAATCAGTGATCTGATTAATGTTTTTTTTTGATATGCTTTCCATAGAATACAGTTCAGTAAAGAAAGAATCTGTATACCTTTAGAGTGTAAACACTATGTATTGTGCTTAGTTAATAGTTGCATTCCGTGATTTATTAATAGTTAAGTGGCAAGTAAGAATGAGCATGGTTTTAATGCCTATCGTAATTTATTAATTATTAAGTAATCAGGATTAATGTCTAAAACACTTAGCTCCTTCCCTGTCCTGGTACTGATGTTGCCTTTGTTTTCTTTTCTGGCATCAACTACAACTGTATTTGATCAATAATGATTAATCAGTAGTGATTAATGTTGGGATTATGAAAGTATTTAATATAACTTGGTGAAGACAGAATCTGGAAAATAGCCATTATTATCAATGCTTATCTCAGTGTTGTGATGGCAATAATGGCATTAAATCAGTTTTCCTTATTGCTTGAATTACAGGTACAGAATCCTAAATAATCAATTGAACTTGCAAGAAACGTAATATTTAAGACACAATGTAAAATTTACCAAACATTTTTATTATTATGCTACACAATTTTCAGTGGTATATCAGATACAACGATTATATTTAATATCAGCAAAACGTTGTAAATATAATTAAATTTAACTCTAGATTCATATAGCTACTTTGAAAACTAGCCCTATTAGTGGTTAAATATTTGCCATTTTTGGTAATTCAACTTCAGTTTATTTATATTAGAATGAAATACATTGACGATTTAAGATTTACTTGAGTAAATTTGAAATATAAAACTGATTCTAATGTCAGTTAAAATTATTCTATTTTATTTGAAAATAGATTATTTCAGTTTAAAAAGGTTAGTCATGTTACATATAACCCATCCAAAATGTTATGATCATGCAATAGCTCATCCAAGATGGCATTTCATAATTTCAAGCTATTTCAGGAAAAATAGTTACAAAAGTGAATTATAGAAATATTTTCTCTTGTGAGTTTGCTAAAAAAATTACTAAGGTTCCATTAGCTACTTCTTCATGTTTTGGACAAATTACTTTTATTAAGATCGAGGGTAATCTTACTTATGAACTAACGCTCTTATTACTTACAAGTACTGTTTATTCTTTCAGGAAAAAAAAGCTGGACTATATTCAGTTATGTTTCTGTAATGACAGAACATTCTATAGTGGGCACAGTGGGGTGGGGGTGGGAGATTGACGGAGTGAGAGAGAGCAAAAGAAAGTTTTGTTCTATGAACTCCATTTATGTAAAGTTATACATGAGTCCATTTAAGTAGAAATAATATGGACCAGGAAGCTGAATGAGTCGGTTGAATGACTAAAAAACCCATGAATCAATAATTTAGATATTGGCTAGTAAATAAAATGGGTAAATAGAGAATAAAACAATTAACTCAGAAATGGCTGTTTTTGAGTTTTGAGTTTCACATAAGAGTTTATGTGAAAATTTACTGTTCAGTTTTTTTTCTAAGGGAAAAAACAAAATTACATTTAAAAATAAATAAACTTGATAACTGATTTCGCCTGCATGTAAAATTCTGACATTATAGTTAGAGCATTACATTTCTTGCACATAAGAGTTAGAAAATTTTGAGGATACATTATTTTCATATATCCCAAATTGATGCAATAGAAAACACTCATTTATAGAATTTTATGTATATATGTACACACATTGGTAAAGATTCCAATAAAGTTTACCATGCCCTACAATCAACTTGGAATCCTACTGTTTCTGGAGCTGGCCAGTAGAGTTCCATGTAATTTTTCTTTCTACCAAATGGGTTTAAATTTTAGTGCTTAAAAAATACAGTTGAGACACTATAGAACAATTGTTGGAATAGATTTGAATACTCAACTGAATTTTAAAAATAACCCTTCTTAAGAAGCTGGTGGAAAATGAAATAAATTTTCTAATGTTGAACCACTTATTTTGGACCTGGGCTTATGCAGAAATAATAGTTTACCTCAATATAAGAATGTGACCTATTGTTTAGAGAATTGCAACTACAATATTTTGGAAGTTCTTCCATATTGACTATACTGTTGTCTAAGCAGTATGCTAATTTCATGTTTTTAACATTTTACTTTATTTATAGACTTTTTGTAGGATGGAAAGATATTACCATCACCATATTGGTTGTTCACACTAGAATTAACACTTCAAATTAGGGATGCTTAATATGTGCCACTATTACATCTGCTCTCTGCCTATAAATGTATTCTATTAGGCATTGGATCATATCCTTCCCTTCCATTTTTTAAAAAAAGTTTCTCATTTCATGCTAAAAAAATGTAAACTGTTAAAACATACGCTTTTGGTCACTGGTAATCAAAAACAACTTGATGTTAATATATGTTAATTATCACTTGATGTGATAAATATAGTACATAATCTTGTACTATATTTGTTGTCTAATTTTTCTTTATTAGAAAAGTTTATCTCAGTATGGATAACTATGATTTTATGTTTCAGTGGGAAGAAATTAGCGGACTGGATGAAAACTACACGCCTATACGAACATACCAGGTATGCCAAGTCATGGAACCCAACCAAAATAACTGGCTACGGACTAACTGGATCACGAAAGGCAATGCACAAAGGATTTTTGTAGAACTAAAATTCACTCTGAGGGATTGTAATAGCCTTCCTGGAGTCCTGGGGACATGTAAAGAAACGTTCAACTTGCATTATTATGAAACAGACTATGACACTGGAAGGAGTATCAGAGAAAGCCAGTATGTAAAAATAGACACTATTGCAGCTGATGAAAGCTTTACCCAAGGTGACCTTGGGGAGAGAAAAATGAAACTTAATACAGAAGTGAGAGAGATCGGACCTCTGTCCAAGAAAGGATTCTACCTTGCATTTCAGGATGTAGGGGCTTGCATTGCTCTGGTTTCTGTCAAAGTGTACTATAAGAAGTGCTGGTCCATTATTGAGAACTTAGCGATTTTTCCAGACACAGTAACTGGGTCAGAGTTCTCCTCCTTAGTTGAGGTCCGAGGAACGTGCGTCAGTAGTGCGGAAGAAGAAGCCGAAAACTCCCCTAGAATGCATTGTAGTGCAGAGGGAGAATGGTTAGTGCCAATTGGGAAGTGTATCTGCAAAGCTGGCTTCCAGCAAAAAGGAGACACGTGCGAACGTAAGTAGAAAACATATTTACATAGTTGCTCTTTTACTGTTTTTAACAAATGCCTCTTTAATGGAAGTGTTGCCTTACTTAGTTCATAGAAGCCAGAAATTAGAGTGTCAGACAGTAAAGAAACAAATTCTGTTCAGGAATGGAAATCGATGATTGGATGTTGCATTTAGAAAAGCCATTAAAGTAACTGTCAAACTAAACAGTAGTTTACCTTTCCTAATGCTGTTACATACATGGCGTCACATAACATTTTATAAGAGATAGGCCAAAAAAGCTATTTAGCACTTAATGATTCTTTGAAATAACACTTGAGAAAAGTGTGTCTTGCAGAGAGGATATCATTAATAATCCAAAGATTACTTGCAGTATATTCAGTAGCTAATTTGGGAAACTGTGCGGAAACTTTTAAAAATATAATGTGTTTCTGATTAACATACTGAAAAGCAGCTCAGGATGTAGTATTGATAGGAAAGCTAAGGATATGTGGAATATTATTATTTTTTTTAAAAAAGGAAAAAGGAGCACAATAAATAGTTTCTTTAAACACTCATATCTGAAATCTTGGGATAGATAGATTGCATAGCCAGCAATACCTCTTTTTCTCCTTTCTACTTTTGCAGCCCTTGATATGCTGTAAAAGTTTAGGTGATTTCCAAAGCAGATTTTGAATTAAGACTTCGGAATTGCAAAGTATAGAAAGGTATACTTTATTTTTGTCTGCAAAACCGCTTCAATCAGTGGAACCAAATTGTTGGATCCTTCCCTTTATCTGGAAGAAGAAGATAAAATTTGATTTGAAAGACTGTTTTCAGAAATTAGATATCTCACAAGTTTGTCAAGGACTGACAAAATGCTAATTTTGTGTGGGCAAGGGGTACTAATATACCTTTTTAGGATAAACATTGAACTTTAGATAGGTTGAGGTTGCTTTCCAAGAAATACCAGACTAAATTGAATGTATAATAATTGGTTTGATTAGTGTTGCCATGTATAATTTTCTCTTTTTGCCCCATTAAAACATCAATTTGATAACTTCTGAAAGTCACAGAAAGCTTGGATTTTGAACTTTTGACATAGGGTTATGGTTATCAACAGTGAAGAATAGATGTTTCATTAGCTATTTACCATTGATCTGATTGGTGATGGAAGAGACGGTAGGGTATTTTCAGTGAAGATATCTGTCATGAAACATATATTTTCTGTGACGTATGGGTAGTAACCCATATGTTTTAGCAACCACAATTAAGACCAGCAACTTGTTAAATGAAATTGTACTGTGCGTATGATCTTATTTCAGCTTTTGTTTGTTTTATAAACCAGCAAATGCAAGGATTGATCATAAAATTTATTTTTTCAACACCTCTGTAACTGCAAATGGTGGCTAAACAAAGCAGTTGCTAAATGAGGACTTCTTATACTGCTGCTGGCTTTCTTCATTCTTGCTTTTCAAACTCAAACAGATCTGTTAGCATTGGATAACAGCTAAATATTAAAAAGGCCATTTCAAATATTGAAAAGCTACCCGTGTAAATTAGCTCAATGTCTACATCCTGATTCTGCTTAAAATACTTGAATAATGCTATGTGTTCATCACATTTCATGATGAGAGTTCGTTTTCCCAACCAATCTTTAATCTTTTTCAAACTGATTTTGCAGTGATCAAAATACTGTATAATAGCACTTTAAACGTTATTGTTTAGAAAAACTTGTTAGAATTAAATATTAAAACAGAAGATTGATGGAGATACAGCTGTTATAATTAGAATCCAAGTAAATTGTTTATTAAATAGGGTTCTTAATTTTAAACTTCAGTGATGTCAACTGAAGCATTAAATGATAACTTGCAGTTGAGTGTCTCTCTGTGTTCATTTTGTAAGAATACTTCTCATGCCGGCTTGCTGCCAGAGAAACTGCTAAAAGAATATATTCTGTTGGAAGCGTTCCAGAATTGAGAGAGGGAGGAGATTTTAACATTTCTGTTCTTTCAAAAACTGATCTTGGTAAAAGTTTCAAAATAAAGGGTTTTCTTTACATTTGTTGTGAGAAATATATGATTAGTAACTACTACCTATATTAAAAATGTAAGCTAAGTAAAGTTTGAGGCACATATCTTTCATTAATTCCTTGGCTCTGATAGTTAAGACTTTCTCAGTGATAGCATTAATGGTTAAACAGGTGGTGAAAAATGGATGCTGTATAATGATAGCATTCATGGTGAAACTGGTAGTTTCCAGACAATCATGGGATCAAATTTGTTATAAACCTAATCCTACTATTAATTCAGTTGAATATTTTGTTTTTGTCAGACTTTGTAGAACAACCAAAAATCAAATTGCTCTGTGATTTTTTTTAGTCTTTAATTGATTTGTAAGCTTTGCATTTTGTGCATAATATTTTCACTCTAATATAAAATATGAATCATATAAAAATGAATGTTTGCACTGTAGTTCAGACTTTGACATTTTAATTTCCATATGTATTTACCCAGATCTACATATATTTCAAAGCAGTTTTTTGACTTTGCGAAATTAATAATCTATTCCAAGAAAAAAAAACCCAGCGATAGAGCCTGATTTAACCTCCTTCTCCTCCAGAAAAGTAATTAATATCTAACTTTTGATGTTGCAAAATGTAATATTGTTCCTGATTCTTGATGAAGGATTACAAAAGAAAACATTTTCTTTGTAATTTTCTTTTATGAATTAGGTAATTAAGTAAAATGAGGTCTAAAACTCAAGTACATTTCAGTAAATGATATATGTATTTGTGTGTGTTGAGTGTATGTGTGTGTGTGTTTAGGATAGTTGTCCAGAGAATTAGTTTTGTAATACTCTGTTTAAATATTTATTTGCAAATTACCACATATCCTAAGGCAGTTTCTAAACTACATGGATAATATCAAACTAAAATATTAATATATATAAAATTCCTGGTTCAAAAGCATATTTTCAAAGTTTACTGAAAAGCTTTGTTAAAGGCTTAAAACAGCATTAATTGTTATGTTTTTAAAGGAAATGGGATCCTTTAGCAAAGAACTAAAATTACATGATTCCAACCTTTCTCCATATGAAGGCACCAGCAACCAAGCAAAGGTCTGCAATACTAATAAATAGTAGAGATAACGATTAAATAGATATTTATGTACTTAGCTAGCTCAGATGTAACATTTATTTTATCACCATGGTTTTGTATGCTGCTAGAATCAAATCAACAGATGTTAATGTTGCTATAGTATACTTTTTTAGGGTGCTGTTGCGCAATATAAACCACTGTTGGGTACAATGTATTACAATATGCAGATCTAGAGAGCATTAACATTTACACAAATTTAACCATTTTGCATATAAAACATTGTGAGATAAAACTTAAATATTGCATTCACTGAAAGTATTAACTAAATGTATTGAAAGGAGTATATATTCAGAAAAGATCATTTTTCTATCTCTGATTTTTTTTATCAAAATGCAACTTCTGATATTCATTCCATTATATTAACTGTGCTGTTTTGCCTCTTGCATTGTATTAATTCAACCTTTAAGGGTTTTAATGGCCAAATATGTATAAGCTATACATGGGGATAGTTGTGGAAAAACTTTGCAGAAACTTATTTTCAAATGCAAAATAGAACTTGTTGTTTAATATTGCATCTATCTAATAAGTAAGGTATGCCAGTTATCTCATTCTAATTTCTTTGACTTTTGCCCAATCACTACAGTATTTCTCTCTCTCTCCCCCCCCCCTCCCTCTCTCTCTCTCTCTCTCTCTCTCTCTCTCTCTCTCTCTCTCTCTCTCTCTCTCTCTCTCTCTCTCTCAGGATCAAAAAGAAATGGCACCATTAAAAGAGAAGGACCTTTCCTAATACAAATAGATTAAATAGTAATATTCGTTAGATTTAATAAGTATATTAAGACTAGATATATTTCTGTTATTGATAATAATGTTTCTGGAAGATATTTCTGCAAATGTAATTCTCAAATAAATTGAAATTTGGGGAAATACTATATCCTAAGATTACTTTCTCTAACATAAAAATTATAAAGTTAAAATTAATGAATTGTGGTTTTTTTTGTTGTGTGAGTGAAAAATCTGTAACAAAATACTTTTGTTATTTAAAAATAAAAATAATATCAAATTGCTCATACACAGTTACAGTATAAAATACTAACTATTCATGACACATTGGGTTATTGATTTTCAGTTGTGTTATCATTTCACAGATGTTGACTTACCTAAACAGATCAACAGAATGACCATGGGTGGGCAAAAAAGCAATAGAAGAGAGAGCAATTTCCATCTTTCATCTGGTCTCCCTACTGACTTTTTTTTGTGGAAAGCTTGCACAAAACAACCTGCTTGGATAAGTCTCCCCCACCAGGAACTCTCCCTCCAATCTCTCTATACACATGCCATGTTGGCCACTTGCATATCCTTGTGCAGCTTCCCCAACCCATACAACAACCTTGTGTACCCATGCTCACTTTTGTTCACCCTTCCAGACTTACATCCTTGTGATCTTGCCCAACTGCTCTACCCTTACACACCGTCCCTGACTCTTGTCACATCTCTCAGGCATCCTCTTACTTCCCCATCCAGCGACATCCATTTAGTTGCCTGCTGGCCTTGGACTTGCAACTTCCTGCCACTTCCCCACTGACTTTGTACTTTGCTTGGTGAAACGGGGAATATTGAAAATGACTATCAAGTGACCATGGCAGTACATTGGTGCTGAAGTAGCCACAAGTTTTTCAAATTTCATTCCCATGGGAGTCATTGGTCATGGATTTGGGGCACATTCTGTAAGTTTGCACATTTGTTGCACTGGTTTGAAAATTGTCATCCTATAACGTACTAGTTATAGGTTGAAGGTTACAAACAGATAACTATAACTAGTACAAACGTACTAGTTATAGCTTGAAGGTTACAAACAGATAGACAAAAACGTTTTAGTGATATAGAGATTTCATATATTTCAAAGATTTGTGTCTCTGTGTGTGGATTATGATACGTTGAACTAAGT